TTATCCAAAATTGTTTCCCCTATAGACCGCGCAGGAACAGCCTCGTCTTCGCGCGTGAAAAGTTTTGTCACATAAATCAGTGACGAATGCACCTGCAGAAAACGCGGCCGCCAAGTTTATATTGCGCTTTCCACTCGCGAGCAGCGGAAGTCGCATTGCCCGCGGGGTCCACTCTTTTCTCTCCACTTACCTCCTTCCACTCGTTTGTTTTTTTCTTTTTCAACGGCCGTACGCGGGGCAAAATTGATTTCTCGTTGTCGCAGCGAGGACCGATTTCAAAGAGAAAGAGAGACAGAGAGAAAGCAACGACAAAGCCATGGCGGCGAGTTCAGCGAACAACGATCGCACGATATCCGAGCGTATTTAAATCGCGAGCCCGCGACACACGATGAAAACAAAGGAGAGGACTTATTTGTCCCGAGGCGCCCCCCGCATCTGTTCGAAATTGAGACGCGGGCGGACAATGGTGAGAGACGAGAGAGAGAGAGAGAGAGAGAGAGAGAGGAGAGAGAGAGAGAGAGAGAGAGAGAGAGAGAGAAAGGGTCCTTCGCTGCAGAGGAAGTGTGTGCATACGCTTGTTACACCTCGACGCTGCTACATTATACTCCGCAGGGGAGATCGCTGACGCGTGTGCACTGCAAATTTGCGAGAAGCTGCGCGGCTCCTTAACCGGGGGTCCCGTTCTCTTTTGTCGTCGGATGTATAGGTGACGAGGGCAACAGACCTCTCTAATTGAACTTCGGCGTTATTGCTTCGTGTATATGTTGCTTGTGCACAGTCAAGTTTAAGGCGGGGCGGGCATTAAAGCAATTCCAGCGTCAACTGCTCCAACTGCTCCGGTGAAGTGGTTTTTTTCTGAACGGCCATTTCGATAGTTTTTCTTTTTCTTTTTCTTTTTTTATTTCATTTACTAGTTATACTTGCTTATCCCACTTTGTAGACGCAGATAACTAGCGCTACATCATTAAGGTGATCAAAAGCATACCATGAAAATCACAATAAATACGCGCTTGTTGAATCTAAAAATATAACGTGCCAAAAACCGATTCGCATTCAATTAGAAATAGCCACCTGTTGCGCGATATTTGAGTCAAATATTGACCCTGTAGTTGACAAAAAAATCGAATTTCAAGCTGTCCGAACAATTGACGAAAGCACAGCCTAGACCTGCCGCGATCAAAGTTGAAAACGTATTTTGGCGAAACGCCGATTGACGTTTGAAATGCTATTTCCGCGCGGCACGGTCGATGTTCTTCAACGTCGTACGCCGAGCATTGAAAACGTCGATTCACGCAAATTGGCATTTTCTAATCCACGCAGAGCGCCGATCTCGAAACCATCGTGTCGTTTCGGTAATGACGGTATACGCGGCGCACGCGACGCGTAGGCAAGGGGGATCGCGCACAAAGCACAATACTAAGAGCAAATGTCTCGTGACGCTCTCGGGACGCACGCACCTCGCGATGATTGGCCGGCGCGCGGTGAAAGCCCGCGCGCCGATGGAAAAGCCGAGGCGCGGGTCGCAATATTTGCTTGCGCGCGCGTCCTCGTGTAGCCCCCGAACGAAATGCGACGACGAGGTAGCTTACAAAGCAACCGAGTGCGACGACGTTGTGTGTGATCAGCTGCTTCGACGTCCCGCGGTCGCAATCGTGCCACGCTCATCGTCGAGCCGTAATAAAACTCGCGCGGAGCTGCTTTCTTTGTCTCCGGTGCGGTCGACGTCGTCGTCATCGTAGCCACCGCCGCCGCCGTCGAGGTCAGCCCTCGGGGCTAGAAATTACGCGCGAGATAACCTGTTCCCCTCTCTCGCGACGCATCCGAAACGGATTGCAGTCTCCGCCCTACATTTTTCAAAACCGGTCGCCTCTCTCTGCCCCGCGCGCGCGCGACATCGCCGTCCGTCGTCGTAGCTCGCCGATCGGGAAAATCGACAGCGTGAAAGCGCGCTTGCCCGTGGGGGAGCGGGCGCTGGCCGAAAAGACGAGAACGCCGCCGCGAATCCGGAAAGCGCGTAGGCGAGCGCCGCGTGTTCCGCTGGAAGGCCGCCGGCCGACACTCGACGGCTGCACTCGCAGTCGCCTGGGCGGGACTGATCGCAATTAGAGCGAGGAATTAATTAGATTCGGCTTGGAATATGCGCGCGCGTGTTACTGCACCCGTCGCCAATGTTGTATACGCGATCGATTCCTTATTACGGCGGAATTGTTCAGCAGCTGCTCGGGCATAAGCGAGTTTGCTCGCGGCAACTTTGTTCGTCGAAACGTTCTTTTCTTTTTCTTTTTCTTTTTCTTTTTCTTTTTCTAAGGTTTCCGCGAGATTTACTCGCCGCTCGCTCGGACTTTCGAAGGTCGCGTTGTTTTGTTTCTTTCTTTCTCAATCTCGTTAGTTAAAACGACTATGACACGACAATGGATTATTACGCGTAGTGATGATGACTGATCGAACATCGCTGTTTTTTGCCTTCGTCTGACTATGTAAACATTCGAGAAGTCTTATCTAGATCGCGAATACACTTTAGATAACTATCGGTTAGTCAATCCCAACTCCGCAAACGCTCACACGATTGATATTCCAGCGAAAGTAAAATGTTTCTTTTTTCCGAGGAAAGTATCGATCGCTTATAGGGAAAGGAAACGGGGGGGGGGGGGGGGAGGGGGCGAGAAAAAAGTTCACCCCCTTTGCCGTCTCTGAATAATTCAAAAAGGCCCGTAGCCGAAGCGTGCGGCTCCTGAAAAAGGGGGAGAAAAATGTGGCTACCGCGCCGCTGCCCGGCGTGCGAAAAAACAGTCTTTTGAATAATCGACGCGCGGGACCAAAAGACGCGAGCAACCTCGGCAAAATTTTCCGCAAGGCGCGCGCTCGAATCGAAGGTCCGTCCCTGGCTCTCACGCGGACTTGCATTACAATCTGACGATTGAATTACTCTCTCCCCCGAGAGACGTATATCCGCTTACTTCCGTACACACACTCATGTCGCTGCCTTTATTTATTTTTCGCTCTTGCTGCGCGCGTGCATTCTTTCCTCGAAAGCACGATAGTCGCGCGCAAAAGAAAGAAAGAAAGAAAGTCAAAGGGAGATGGAAGTAAGTCGTCGTCGCCGACCTTGGAGCGACAACTCGTTCTTTTCTCGAGTTGTCAGCCCTCCCCCCCTCTCTCTTTCTCACCGCGCGACTGATATTGCTGCTTTCGCGGAGAAAACTGCATTTTCGTCTCCGCTCGCATTCGCACCGCCGGTGTTCTTTTGCGTGTTGCGTAAAACGAATCGTGCGCTCGGTTCCACCGAGTATCCCTCTATTTTTTTGATCATTGCGAAAGTTACGCCGCAGTCGTTGCGCCCCGAGTCCATTACTCGCGTGGAACCTGCGCCGCGTAGCGCGCTCGTTAAAAAGAACGAGAACGAGCGATACTTCCGAGAAATGGTTTCTCGAAAAAATCGTTTAATATTACGGCGATATGCTAATTTCTGATTCTATCCTTTCCTTTTCTTTCCTTTTTTGACTTTTTTTCCTTTTTTTCTTTTGTATCTCCGTCAAAAGCGTAATCGAGATAACGATTGTTCGCGCGAGAGATTTGCGAGGGTCGTTTTTTTCTTTGTTCCGCTGGGAGCGTTTTTACATTTGGATTCTCGGTGAAGCGGAGAAGTTGGCGCGCGCGAAGGGGAAAGCAAGGAAACCGGGCCATTTCAAAACGAGCCTCCGATTCGCACTCCCCGATGGTTTTCTTCCGCGCGCTCGGGGAAAGAAAAAGACGAAGAAAAAAACGCCGGAGCCGTCGCGTGTCGAAATCTGCATCCCCGGTAGGCGAATAATGTCTCTGCGCAAGCGGCACGTGTTCGCGTTAGCTAATCGGCCCGATCGAGCAGCGGCGCCACTCGCTCGCGCGCGTTGCCCTAATCGCTCGACCCGCGTTTCGCGCGGGCCGCTGCCGAGAGATCGCTTGGTCGTCCAGCCTCTCGATGCGTGGCGAAGTACCCAGCACCGGACAATAACGAGGAGGTGTAATCCGCGGCTCGATGGGCAGAGCTGCACGAGGCGCGGGCGCAGGTGGTGCGCCGGCGAAACTGGTGTGGCATCTGCTCGGCGAGCGTTTCTCTCTATCTTTCTCTCTCGCAGCTGCCGCGAAAATTGCGAAGAAAGTCCGGCGATCGTGCGTCGATGGCGCGGGCCGCGCTTACAGGCGAGTCGTGCTTTCGCGACCTTTCTCTCTCCGCGGGCTCTCCTGCGGACAAATTACGCCGCGACTGTCCAGCGGAAAAAATTGCATGTATCCTTGGTGCTCGCGCGCGCGCGGGATATAATCGGCGATCCTCCGCGACACCGATACGCGCGCTCGGTATTTGTTTGCTTATTCAAATGGCCCGGCAAGCCCGAGTAAGAGTTGAATGACTCTACACGAATCTCAATGCGAAAGTGGGATAAGTGTGAGGCGCAACGCCGGAATAAGCACGCGACAGCAGAGCCCGAAACGCATCGAGCGAGGAGAGAAGCAGAAGAAGAAGAAGAAGAAAGACGACTCATCCGTTATTCATATAATCTATTTACTAGTTGACAATTGCTAACTCGCCATGAATTATTTATTAGGATTATTTACGCGGGGACAATTCTTTGGCATGTTAATGTTGGAAAATTGAGAAAGAGTGTCCTCTCGTCGGTCGACGTTATTTTTATCTTAATAACAAAACTGCCAACTAGGATTAAGCGATTTAACATCCCAGACGGAGAGGCATAAAGGGGAACGGACATTTTTTCAAACGGCTGTGTATCAGCCGCGAAGGCCGTTCTCTTAAAATGATATCCGCAGCGAAGAAGAGAGTTTCGAGCTCTCGGAAATGAAAGGCGACTCTTCGCGACAAAGCGAGCGCGCGAGGGCTCGGGGGGAAAAAGATCAGGGCAACAAGTGAGCCCGACGCGAAACAAAGGCCGAGGGCGCGGACGGGCGGTTACGTTGTGTGCCAAGCTTTGTCTCACGCGATTTGTTTTCTGTTAATTGCGTTGCAGAGCCCTGGCACGCTGCACAAGGATGCCGGCGGAGGGACGAAAGTTAGTGGCAAGAGCGTGTCGGGAGTCGGTGGTGGCGCGGTACTCACCTCGCTCTCCACCATCGCCAATACCAACTCCGCCAAGACTGTTAGAAATATCAATAGCCAGGTCGCACATCGCAAGGTAAGCATGCATTTTTTTTCCTCTATTCCGGGCGACTGAACTCTACGTCACATCGGTCGCCGTGGAGATTCCTGTTTCTTTTTTTTTTCTCCTCAATAACGGTCGCTGGACATCGCGACTCTGCGGTCAGTTGGCGATTGGAAATTGATGACGATAGGTGGGCGTGAAATTTACGCTCGTAACTTCTTTTTTTTTTTCTTTGGCGGGATATTATCCGATCTGTTCAATTTGCTCATTACGCATCTGACGTAACGTTCCGTTACACGTGGACACACTTGGCGAATTTTTTTTCCACATTTTCGTCCGGTCGAAAAAGTCGGTGCGTAAAAAATTGTCGTGACGAGTCCATGTCGCAAGAAAGGATGAAGTCACGAGACAATTTTCTTTTTTACGGCCAACCGCGCGCATACGAAGTTTCGTAACGAATCGTTGCATAGGCAGTGCCGTGATTTTCTTTTTTCTTTTCTTTAAGCCCCCCCCCCCCCTCTCTCCCCGTTCGCGTAGGAAAAATAAAAGATAGATACAGATTTCGGAATTGATGAACGAACGGTCTCGACGCATAAAATAGCAAGGCGGGGGGAGTGTCATCGGTTGCACATTCTGCCGATGCTAATAAATATAGCGTGCGCGTAGTGCACGGCGAAGAGGAGGAGCGCGCGCACGCATGGCCTTATAATTACGAATAATTAACGCAGCGAGCGACCGAGTGCAGTCGTATATGTTCAGCGCGGCACATGCTGTTTAAGTGACGCAACTATGCTGACCGCACATCGCTGCAGCGTACGTATACTCTTACAATTTTTTCCCCTCCTCTCTCTCTCTCTCTCTCACTCCCTCGTTTACGTAAGACGCGCATCGTGGCTGATGATTTTTCCGTCCTCCCCCTTGCTTTTTTTTCAGTGAAAGTTCTCCGCGATTGTAAAATCATCGATGTTTGTAACCCACATGCGCGGTTGGCTGGAAAGCCCTTACGGTAGCGACGGCAGGTCGATAGACATCGTTTAGTATTTTTACGTAATTTGCAAACGAGTACTTTCTAAACAGCCGTAGCGCGCTCGGCCAGGAGTCGTATATCCCTTTGGCATTCGCCCGCAATTAGGTATAGGATCTCTCTCTCTCTCTCTCTCTCTCTCTCTCTCTCTCTCTCTCTCTCTCTCTCTCTCTCTCTCTCTCTCTCTCTCTCTCTCTCTCTCTCTCTCTCTCTCTCTCTCTCTCTCTCTCTCTCTCTCTCTCTTGTCGCTTGGTGCGCGCGGTGAATTTTAACGAGCGAACGGCAGCGAGGAGGAAGGTCATGGTGGCAGGCGCACACATACGCTACGCGGGTCGTTGACACCGACGCCACCGCGCGCTCCAACAAAATCTCTTTCACGTGACGAATGCTCGTCGACGCGCGCCATCGATTTTCCCCCCGAACGCGCCGAGAAGCTCTCTCGCCCGACGAGCGTCGTCCGTCGCGCCGCGGCGACAGCTTTCCTTTCCGAGCTCGTCTATATCGCGCAGTCCGGCGTACGCGCACTCGACTGCCACGCTGCTTCGACCCTCTCGAGAGCGGCCGCGGCACTGAGCCTATCTTTCGGAGCAAGCGCGCTTCACGGATATAGTGCGCTCGCCGCGTGTGCACTGACGGTGCACGAACGAATTTCGGGCGCCGATGCTCGCAGTCAAAAACAACCTGTCGATTTCACCACATTCCTCGGCCTAATTAAATTCAATAATTAAGCCATCTCCTAAGGCCGAAAGATGAATATCGAACGGTATATATATATATATATCGGTGGAGATCTCTCTCTCTCTCTCTCTCTCTCTCTCTCTCTCTCTCTTGCTCGCTCGCTGGCTCTCGTAACGAGTCGTCGTTCGTCGCGGCGTTAATTTGCCGGTCAAGATTGGCGCCTCGAGCAAACTGACACATCTGCCCGTCTGCGCGTATAATACACGACGCGACAACGACGACGAAGAAGAAGAAGAAGAGGCAGCGAGGACGGAGTCAGTGACCGCCGGCTGCTGCGCACGGGATACGAATCTCGATACTTTGCTCTGCGGGGCGTGTCGACGCATCCGCCCAAGTTCACGCAGCGAAAGTCAAATCAGCCGTGATTCCGCGTCAAGCTGCCGCCACGCGGTCCCCTCGCCGTTTTCACGGCATCGACCTACTGCGAGGCCATGGTTTCCACGAGCTCCGGCTTTTCCTCGCGTTTTTTGCAGCCCGTGCATAGACGCGCGCCTCCAAGTCGGCCGTCGTCGCGCCGCCAGTGTCAAGGGGACGATGCCACGCGGCACGCAAGCTGTGAAAAATCAGGTCACCGGCTGGCTTATCGCCTCTGCGCTTTTCCAGATAAAGCCAGAAAAAGAGAGAGAGAGAGAGCACGCGTGTGTGTATAACTGTTGCTGCCTGTCGCTTACGAAATTACTCAAGGCGCGCTGCACCTAACGTTTTGTAACGCAGCCTGCTCTAGTTTGTGGGAATCGCCAGCGATACATAGATTGCCCCGCGGTGCGAGAGAAACACAATAGGAGCGGGCTCGCGTTTTTTTCTTAATTTTTTTTTCGGCAACTCGGCGTAAGCCTTGACCGAGCGCAATTTTTAGATCGTTTGCTGTTTCAAGTGGGATCCGTAATCAAAGCGATTGCGAACGGGTATCGAGCAGACGCTCGACGGACAAAGGCAGCGATGGAGAGAATAAACAGGCGAGTGAGCCGGGAGGTTTCGGGGCAGGCTGAAGTTTAATCGTCGAGCGAAGGCTCTTTCGTTCAGTTCGTCGATTCTCGCGCAACACAATGGCCGTCGATGGGGAAGGAATGCCGCAACTGTTATTGCAGCTCTATGTTAATCGAACCCAGAGACGACTCGGAATGCAACGAATGCGTCGCGCCGCGCGGCCGACGACACTCGCCTATGGCATTTATACGTATCCCTCGAGCGTTCTCTCCTCGGGCGCATCGAGCTTCGCGCCAAGTAGCTTGGGATTGACGGGCAACCGTTCGCTGCGGCTCGCGCACGACTCGCGGTTCGATTACGATCGATCGAGACGCGCAATGACGCACGAGAAATTGTTACAAAAGCATCGCGCTCCGACTCCGTGCGATCGAGAGTTTCACGCTTTTTTCTGCGTCACCATTTCGCGCGCGTCAGCCCATTTGTGTGCACTTTCGATCATGTCGCGCAAATGTAATTTGCAAAATAGCGAGATGATCGTCCCCCTACCCGGTCTAACGTATTATCAGCTCCAGCTGGCCATATCGCGCTGTATTATTTTATATACAAACGAGAGAGAGAGAGAGAGAGAGAGAGAACTTTAATCTATCGAACGACGTTCGTCGTTTCTTCACTCTGTCTCTCTCTCTGTCTCTCTCTCTCTTTCTCTTTTTCTCTCGCCTCGCAAATATCGCGCGAGCGAATGTAAAAGATAATTTGTTCAACCTCGTTGCCGGCAGCGCGCGAGCACCAAGAAAATTCCCGTCGTTACGTGCGCGCGAGCCCCTTTTTTTTCCCCCGCAAAGTGGAAAAAACAGCGCCACGCGAAGCGATTCGTCTCGTGCGGCGCGCATTTTCGTTGTTATTGTTCGAAAATTTCGCGGCACCGCTCGAGCCGATCGCCCGAGCGAAAGTGGGTATGTACGCGCGGAAGCCGCGCATTAATTCCAGAGAGCAAGAGCGCCGTTTACGCAGGCGCGATACGGCAAAACGAAGAGAAATGGACTTTTACGCCCGACACGGTTTTCCTGTTAAGAGAGAGAAAGAGAGGGGAAGGGGGGAAGCCCGTACGCTCCCTTTTTTTTTAGACGCGCGATTTATTTACTTTGTTCGCGTTCCGAGATATTTGCATCGGAAATCTTGCGTTTCGCGGCGCGGCAACTGACGCAACGGCGACATAACGATAGCTTTCTTTCATGTTCCAGGTGCGACCGTCGATCGCCAACTCCAAGACCTCCAGGGTGGATCTGTTGGATAATAATAACGCCAACAACGCCAACGCCAACAATATTCACTTACCCATTCACGATCCGTACAACTCCAATAGGCACACGGACGGACATGGTACGTCGATACGATAATAACGTCGCTCGAGTTTCTCGTTTTCTCGGAACATCGCGTTCAATTCAGCTTCGACGATCAAACTCGCAATCTTTTAAAAGAATCTGCGCATGAAAGTGCTCTTACATTGACCGATATTTTATATATATATAAAGAGTTAGCGTGGAAGGAATGAAATGAGGAAATGATTTGATTCGACAGGTGTAGTATTACCAATGACTCCGGAACAGGCGATGAAGTATTACGGCTCAAAGCTGACCGAATTCGAGAGAGCCGAGATCGAAAAGTACTCGGAGATCTGGTATCTCGGCTTGTCGGCCTGCAAGATACATGGCGAGGAGGGAGCTCAGCAAAACGGCGGTTACGACGACGACAACGGCAGCTACAACAAAGTCCTCCACGATCATATCTCATACAGGTACGCGTAATTACATTGCCCGCCTTGCTTTCGTTTCTCTTTGACAACCGATCGATTAATCAGCTACCTATCTTTCCCTCTTCCTCTCGACAGATATGAGATTCTGGAGGTCATCGGAAAAGGCAGTTTTGGCCAAGTGATTAGAGCGTTGGATCACAAGACTGGTCAACACATTGCCATCAAAATCATCAGGTTTGGATCCGTTGTATATTGTAGAAATACCGAAATAGCAAAAAAGTGCGATGCCGTTAAAGCAATCATGTCCAATGACAGTGCTTGCTAATTAGACTGATTTTCGTGATGTATCTAACGGGTCGAGGACGCGAGCCAACGAAAAATTGTCTGGAAACAGAAAGTCGGAACGAACGTGAAGCTGTGTAATTTGAAGAAAACCGCGTGGTCTCCGAATCCCCACGATATTCGCGCGATCTCGTCGGCGTGAGTTGTGACTGAACCATACCATTTGAAAGTCTCTTTATTTTTGTCGTGAATTTCTCGTTCGAGATCGTTTTAAGAACGATCGTCGACGTGGAAGAAAAATTGAAATTAGATTTTATTAACAAAAAAGAAAAAAAATCCATCTAATACGCACGACAATAACGTACTTTATAACAGCAAGAACGCGGCCTTGGTTCGAATCACATTTCAACGTTCGCGCGCTAGATACAGTTGAATACGCTGCTGGCGTAGCTCAGAACTGAAAATAATGATTGCTAAAAGTACCTTTGTCGTCTTATTATTCATAGGAACAAGAAGCGTTTCCATCATCAAGCCCTCATAGAAGTCAAGATCCTCGATCACCTGAGGAAAAAGGACAAAGATGCGAATTCATCTCACAACGTGATACATATGCTCGAGTATTTCTACTTCAGGAATCATTTGTGCATCAGCTTTGAGCTGATGAGGTATGTGTCTGCATACATAAGCTCATTACCAATCATCAAAGGCAGCTTCATTTAAATGTCACGGTCACACTAATTTGACTACGTTCTCATTACAGTTTGAACTTGTACGAGCTCATCAAGAAGAACAATTACCAAGGCTTTAGCTTAAGTCTCATTCGAAGGTTCGCCAACTCGCTGGTCAATTGTTTGAGGCTGCTTCACCGGGAGAACATCATTCATTGCGATTTGAAGCCCGTAAGTAGTATATAATCTAAGTGTGCGTGTGTGTGTTCGATTGACACACATCAGCATACCGCGAGCATTACTTAATCATTTCCGTTTCTGCAATGCAACGCAGGAAAACGTGCTGCTGAAACAACGAGGCAGCAGCTCGATCAAGGTTATAGACTTCGGCTCGTCATGCTACAGCCACCAACGGGTCTACACGTACATTCAGTCGCGTTTTTATCGTTGCCCCGAAGTTATTTTGGGCCTACCCTATGGCACTCCGATCGACATGTGGAGCTTAGGATGTATCCTTGCCGAGCTGTACACTGGTTATCCACTATTTCCTGGCGAGAACGAGGTTGAGCAGCTTGCCTGCATCATGGAGGTCTTGGGTAGGCCGCCGGAGCAACTCATCAATCATGCCTCGCGTCGTAGGCTCTTCTTCGGTAAAAAGACATGATTTTATGAAGACCTCTTTTGCTCGACCCTTGTGTTGCCTCGGGGATCATAGGTGATTAATTTCCTTGCTTTATTTTGCCCAGACTCCAAAGGAAATCCTCGCTGTGTGACCAATAGCAAAGGCAAAAAAAGAAGACCCGGCAGTAAGAACGTGATGATGGCGCTACGTTGTCGGGACCCACTTTTCGTTGATTTCGTCAGTAGGTGTCTTGAGTAAGTCGATGTCGATTTTCTTTTTTTAGAAGCGCTTATCACTTATCGATAAAAATCTGACTGCGACTTGAACTTTCGTTACGAGTGAAAAAACGTGTTCGAGTTGTTCTGAGTTAGCTTGACAAGTGTGGGAAATCTTGATGTAAGGTCGAGGTACGCATTGACACACGCACACTCATACACAAAAATGTATAACGATGTCAAGAATTTTTTTTCACGATAAACTGTGACGTTCTTCAACGTTGAATAGAGTTTCAAGGGCCGTTGTGAAAATCTCGAACGACATTTGTTACTTTGCAGATGGGATGCAAAAAAGCGAATGACCCCGGACGAAGCATCGCGTCACGAGTGGTTAACCTCGTCGTCATCTCTGCTCTCGTCGTCGTCGTCCACGATGGCTTCGTCGATCACCGGCAGCAGTACAGCCCTGACCACCAGCGTGATCGAAACATCGTTGCCGGTTCACGGCCAGGCAGCCGTCACTTGTGGCGCTACAAGCGTTTCGGCGGCCGGCGGCGTTGTCCAGGCCACTGCAGCTTCGGTTCGTCCTCGCGCCGAAACGATGGAGGATATACAACAGCAGTACGCGCTATTCCGACTCTATCGCAGTCGCAAGTGCGTCTCCAAGATCACCGACGTATCCGACGGTCCTGCTTCCAGCCTCGTCGTCAAGAGCAAACTGAATGGCAGCGCGAGCAGCCACGCCCTCACCGCTGGCGCCCAGCCAGCCAGCTCGAGGCATGCGTCCACTGGTGACATTGTGACCATCCTTGATCCAAGTCTCGACGACTCGGGCACTTTCCTGCCGCACATCTTGTCTTGAAGTCGGGTGCGGGCTAGCCATTTCTAAACGCGAGCGAGACACCTCCTGTTAGATTCTCGTGCATGCATATGCCATACGAACCAGTGCATTTTTTATGGATGAACAAGCTTTCGTTGCCACCACCTGTATCCCCGCGTAGATATACGTAAAAGGGTGGGCTACTTTCAAATAAGACTGTTCCAATAGGCCAACTCGTTCTTACGTTCGACTCACGCTAAATTTTTTCACACATATATCACCGACAATAATTCGTTCGAATCGGCCAAATTAAGAGCACGGAAAACGAAATAAAAATAGTCGATGTAACTCACACGCTGTTTGAGAAGAGCAGAGAATAATAGGAGGAAAAAATTGGAAATGGCTAGTTTGGCGACGCACTTGACAAGAAAAAAAAATTCATCGAAATATTTAGCCATGACCCAACGAATAGTGAGGGGCGATTACGACATAATAAAGAAAACGCAATTGTATAACTCGTAGCTAGGCTAATTGACTGGAATGTTATGGTATACGCTGACGAAGAAAAAAATACAACATAGATTGTCTTTCGTTTTTCTCGTAACTCATAGCCAACACGTTCATTGTGTAATTTTATAAATGTAATTTATTGTGATCGATCGACATTTTATTCAGCAAAAAAATTAATAGCTTTCCATCAAAAGCAGGATCGATTGAGTGTACTGATTTGCTCGCGCAGTACACCAAATCAGATGGTGAACGATCATGAAAAACGAGAGAGAAAGAAAGAGAAGAAAATAGAGATTGTAGAAGCGAAAGTGTATCAGTCTTTTTTTCGATGGCTTCGAAAACCAATAGGTCGTTATTTAAAGTTTGCGCGGATTACCCTTGTTAATCGGCGTGACCCCGTTTTTCACGAGGCCTGAGTAGTCTTATTGTGATATTAAACTACCACTGTCTTACTTGGATCTCTGATTATTGAGAATATAGTGTCGTCTAATATTAGTTTTCATTAATATTACTTTTAGATGTATGGTTAATTATTATTATTACGACTATGTACGATTACATATGAATATAAATATATAAATATTATTTTGTTATGCTTTCGAGCATGGCTACTGCCAGCACTATGACTGTAATCATTAGACTACGTGTTTTAATGACAATTAATTAGACCGATAATACTGCAATCGAAACTAAAGGAAGAAAAAAAATAAACAAAAAAAATTTATAAACATTGCAATTTGACATAAATTAGCTCGATTGTCCAGTATATTCAAACCCAGGGTACACGCGATAAAGCTTGTTGCGCATCTTGTTTTACGATTTGAATAGATATTTAGTAATTCGCAGAATCTTTATGCTGCAATATTACAGTCTCTTTATTTTGATTGTATCATTAAGATTATTTTTAGACTTACTGTCACTTTCTTCCTGTCGCATGAAAACAAAAAAACAAACAACAACAATGCTATATGTATATATTCTTTCATCCTTATTTTGAGATAAACCGCTTGCAGTTGTGCTGCATGCATTTTAATGATATACCAACAATTTTTTTACGTACTGATACTATACGTAAAATGTTGAGCAATTTAACATTTTTCAAATCGTCGAAATTTTATTACTCTTTCGAATATCGAGTTTCTTTAATTTCGCAATTGTTTCTAGAGCCAAAGACTTGGCGATGAAACACCAGCATGATTTAAGAACTGTTCTCGTATTTATTAAGAAAAGTCAACAACGAACAGGAAAAGAAAATTCTACCTAACTTCCACACAATTGTGTATTTATGCGTTTTAATCTCTTACTCGACAATTAATGTGTAAATAATTACTAATATCAAAATGTAGACAAAAAGAAGAACAGTAACACACTCCTATACAGAACCACGTGTGACAAGACTGAAAGATGTTACATATAAAAAAAATTATTATTTATCAATCCCGTTTTAAGAAATAAACAAAAAGTAGAAGTATACGTTCGTCCATCATTTTATTATCGTAAAAAATATAGAATTTTTTTGTTGAAAATGTAGGTAAATGAAAAAAATTAACCTCTAGCATCATTTCACACCGTAGCGATTCGAAATTCTGTGAAGCCTATCATTGAAAGCATTATTTTTTCACTGCCGCTGCGATACTCTATAAAATGGCAACACAAGCAATGCCACGTACCAATCAAACATGCATAGTAATTTAACTGTATGCTGTGCGAATTACAATTTTTTAGGGATGTTTTTTAGGGACACTAGTTGAGCGTATCAATTTAATTGATGATCAATCGAAACAATATCAGTTACTTTGGTTTTTACAAATACTAATCTTTAGCTGTACATTGTACGTAATGAAATTTAAGAGTGTATAGTATAAACCTAAGTTTCGTAAATTATCATGTACTTTTTTGCTGCTCTATGGTGTAATGCGAATTTTAATTAGCAACGTGATGTTCTAAAACGAGTGTGTAGAAATTATTTGCAAATTAAGGAAGCCTTGTCAAGCTTGTTGGAAATGTGAAAAAGTAATTTATTATAAAGTTGAACAGTTTTGTACATGTGCATTTTAAACCAAGTGTTCTGTTGTGCTTAAAAAACTATGGAAGTGCAATATCAAAAATTATCGGATAAAAACACGCTTGGAGTGATTCAAAATTGTTATCTATTGTGGAATCTACTGTCATATGACAAAAAAACCAAAAGAATCTACGGAAGCAATAGAATAGTGATAAATTAGTGGGAAAAAAATGACATTTAAAATGCGCGTGCTTTCGTCTTTGTTTGTCGAAAAAATTAGCGTAAATCAATTGCCGAAGAGTTTAAAAAATTTTTTATATCTGTGCAGTTCGCTAATATATTGCCAATTATAAATGTATTGAATCGGTGTAAATCTCTTTGTAGCAAAAAACTCGTCATTTTGTCATATGTTAAAATTATTGTTCGCATTGTTAACTTGTAAACAACAAAGTATAAGTGTATAAAATTTGCTCTTGAATAAACATTTGAATAGGCATACTTTGAAAGCAATTAAAAGTGACATTAGTTGATATATTCGTACAAACACGTCATAGCTTTGTACCTTTATAATATTTTCGATACAAAACAGGCTGCTTTTTTTCGATTCATTGTCTCTCAAAACTGTCTAATTCCAAGCTGTGTTTAACAGTTGTCAAAAATGCATGGTCCAATTGAAATTGTAAATGAAAAACGTAGTTCAATAGGACAATCAATTCATCACTAGCAGAATTGAGTAATTAGACTATGCAGTCTAATTACTTTTTATTATTTTATGTACAATTGATTTGAATTATCAAAAACATAGAGTGTAAATGATTGAAGCATGTAGGGTGTTGAACCAGTCAGTCGTCACTCGGTCAAAGAGATCACAAAACATAAGGAATTGTTTCATTAAAGCGTAAGAACATAATTTCAAAGTGCACCAAAACCATGCCACATGATAAAACGCAGAAATCACGATGAAAGCACTACAAAACTTGCGTTTTCGTCTCGCTTTGAAGGCAAAGGAAAACCATTATCTGAATAATAAAAGTATCAAAAGCGTGAGTGCGTTATTATGCGAGCTAAATTACGTGAAAGTGCATTTTGCGATTCGTAAACAAAATATAGTTATAAATAATGCTAATCCTCGATAATTTGTTTCGTGCAAGCGCGAAATTTTAAGATATCTGCCTGACATTATTACAAAAAACAAACAGCCTCGAACAAAAAAAATAGATATAACGACTTGTATAATCTAGGAAATGTGCCGCATATAAGCCTAAAACTATCGCTGAAATAAAAGCGTTATAAAAATATGCGAGGAAAAGACTTAGTGTATTCAAGGCAATTTGTGCGTTAAAAAAAACTATCGTACGCAAGTAAAATTGCGAAGTAAGAGGATAACGACACTATGAAACGCGAACAAAAAACAAAAGAAAACAAGAAAAGAATAAGTAATCTTAATTATCCCAACTAAAGCATCATCACCTTTTGTATCATTTGTCCGTTTGTTTCTATCTTGCTGCGTTTGTCTTTCATTATTAATGTAAACCAAGATGACTCGTTCTCGATGATATCTTGTGTGTAAATATACTAATAAATATTATACATATTGAGAAATTCCGAGTTTCATTTCTTTTTCTGCGGTACCCAAAAAAAAAACGTAAAGGCGTTAAGTAAATTGCATTTTGAAAACTGCTATGTGTTTTTTTGTATCTGTTTTATTCGTTTGATTAAAAGAATAACTAGCCGATCTTGGATTTGTTTACAAGAGTACGTGGGTACACGAAGAGCAATGGAACACAATGGGTATACGAATTAATAACACGTGCTAACTGTCCAATTAGCATGAATCGCGAATCGCATTTGTGCGCGCCACAAGCTAATCATTGCAATTGATAGACTTGTTTTGCTGAAAACTTGTTTCGCACATTTCCTGGAATACTTAGTATAGCTATTAGACACGTGATATACGCACGTTCGTGATTTGATATGAACACGTTGCAGAACATTTGCTCGTCGAGTTCAGAGAGTTCAATCAAGAAATCGTACGACAACATGACAAATACTTTCGTTATCTTGCAATTTGGCCGAGCAAAAAATCCGTTCTATTGTAAGTCGTCGTGAATGAACTTGAGCTCGGAAAGTCATTTGCGGCGACTACATCTTGGACTTGATTGCTCAACGGAATATAGTTTAACTTTGCACTGCGCCTACACGTTGATTACGACTGGCTGAACAGTGATATTTGGCGTGCTTCCCGGATAAATGATCGGCGCTGCTTTATTGCAGTTGCTCGGAAAATGCATCATGCCCTCGCAGCCAATGAGTCGGAACTGCTTGTCGAGGCATATCCCTAGTTCGGATACGTAAACTTCGTTTCTCTTCTGCAAAGAGCCAGCAAAGGTCAGATTGGCGACAGCTGCGAGGTGGAGCGCGACAAACTTACCGAGTTGTGCACGCAGCCCACGAAGGCGTCGACGCCCAGGACCTGGCGCACCGCGTCCAAGTACTCGTGCAGCTGGTACTTCTGGTTGGGCAGCATGTTGGCCTTACCGAGCACGTGCTTCATGTCGTACTGGTCGAGTAGATCGAGTCCTTTCTTGAAGTACTTGACCTCGGTGCTCATGCTCTCGATGTCGACCGAGCAGGTGCCGTGCTTTTCCCACTCGTGGCGCCAGAACACGTGCGGCTTGGCGCCCTTGTGCACGTCTATCCATTTGACTTCGAGCTCCGCGCGTATTGACTCCAGTGACTTCATGTCGAAGTGCAGCGAGCTGTTGCAAAAGAACGGACCCATCGTGTGCAGTTTCTCCGGCCACAGGCCGTGGATCGACCACTCTTCGTTCGGCGGCAAGTTGCACTTGTGCGACGGATTCTTCTCCTCCCACTCGTAGCAGGATGTTGGCGGCCAGGCCTGCATGAATATCAACATGTCGTAGTCTCCCACCCTCGCCAAGTGCGGCAAGCCCTCGCTGCGAACAAACATTCGTTATTTCTTAAACTCGTTGGAACGTCGCTGCCACGCACTTAGCGACCCAATTTTCCGTGATACTCCAAACGATTTTTTTGTCGTATCGATTGCGCAACGAGCTTTAAAGTAGATAACAATTAACAAGACTATAGCGTCTACGATATCATTCGAATTTTCTCGACCAAGGGTTTACTTGCGGTCACAGGAGCATTGGACGAGCGGTGCGAGTCCATCGTACAGATTTCGAAAGAACCTTTCGGCAATTCCTTCTTTGAGCTGGCTTTAACTGGCGCGCTTATTTTTTCCACGAGAACGCGACGGGGCTTTCGACGACGTTTCTTATTATCGCTCCTAATGACTTATTGATAACAGTTTCAATTGACCGGCAAATGAGAAAGTTACGAGCGCGATATGCCGTGTCAGCGAGCGGAATCTCGACTCTCGTTCAAATTTCATAGTTTTTTCGACACTCCGTGCGGAAAGTGCGTTTTTTCCGCACGCTCGGCAAAAAACGCGCGTTAAAAATCGCACTTTCCACACGTCGTATCAAAAAATACGGTACGGCACATGTTCGGGAAAGAGTAATATTGTATCGTAATGTACTATTTCACGTTGCAGACTCACCTGACTGCCAATTGAACGACGAAAATACCGATGACACCGTGCAGCAGCATTTTCGCTCTGTGACAGCGCGTAACCGCTCGGATAAATGTTATAATGTCGGGAGCCGAACAACGCGCATGTGGCGTCAGTTGGGAGAACGAGAACTGGCTCAGCCGACAATGTTGCGAGAGCGTAGCGTCGCACTTTTCCAGCCTCCCACTCTGTCGCGAGCTTGGCCCCACTCCGCTCAACTCTACTCTGCCGCTCGGCTCTAAATCCCTTTGCGAATATCTTTGTTCGATCCGTGGGTGCCAGCCAAGAGTGTGGCTTTGCTTTCAAAGAACGCTATCTTTCTGTATTATTTCAGAAAGCAATGTGGAGCAAGCTTCAAGAGCGCGCACTTGCCGGATTTTTTTTATCGTCATCTATCTGTACTTCGGATCGAATTTCGTTTCAGGAATTTCGTACGATTTGGTACAATGTCGATCTATTTGATACTCGAGTCGGTAGGTAGCCTCTTGACTAAAAACAACTTGTGCGCGTTGAAAGTCTAAGGAATCGATTTTTTATTCAGTATCGAATTTCAGTCGATTGCGAATTTTCCTATTTCTTCAAGATCTCTCTGTAATTCTTCTTAGACCCTTTCGTCTGGATTCACCTTGCGGCGCACCTATTCGCCATCTCTTCAACAGTGGGATTATGTAACACGATATCAACGCCAATATGGGCTTAGCTAAGTTATATAGCTTTCGCTACAGTTCTCAATACAGACATTGATAGGCTTGAGCGTTTTTTTCGGTGTCTAAAGTCTTAGCGTCAATCCCTCGGCCCAATCCACAATTTGCACAATTAACCAAATAATACAGAAAGGTTCTCTATACCTATCCATGATACGCGCGTAAGTCCAGAGCTTCCTTCAACTAACGAGTTATTCGAAATTTCATATTCTCCAACAGATTCGCCACGATAAGTTAGCGTGAACAGCGTCAAGTACAGGACTCCCCCGAAAAAGTCCTTTGTTCAAGTAGTAGAGCTTATTTTCCGACATGCTTCAATAAGTTATATCGGAACACGATTTACTCTTACGAAATCTAGACTTAGTAGATGAATTATTATCTAGCCAAAGATTGTTTTAAGGATTTTCTAATGTAATGTGCCATTGAAACGGGCGGAACTCTTTATTGTGACTATTTTGGGAGATGAACGTGATTAAATATTTTGACCGGCTTTCAAGAAAGGTGCCTTGACAGTAAAAGTCATTAAATATATCATTTAATATCACAATAATTGTCATTTAAATAATCATATCTACACGGGCAACGAACGTTAAATTGACGTTTTGACAAAGAGATTGAACGTCTTGCAATTCAATCCCTTAGGCCAAAAAAAAGTTAGGGCTCCGTACTTTAATCACCTTTTAGTTAACTAATTAAAATATCGTAGCAAATAATAAATATATTCAATCGCACGAGGGATCATTTTTTTCAAAATTATAAGAGCTTTCTCTTAACAGCAGAAAAGAAATAAAAAATAAAAAAACCAATTTTTGAATAAATATTTGACATGTCAAAAATGGCTATTTTCGAGGGTTATTGGTACTTTTTGCAACAATTATATATAATGAACGAAAATAGCCGTGGGATGGCTTAAATTGTAGATTTTGAATTTTTCTAAAACTTATATCTAAAACGTTTTGATCTAAAATGCATACCGTTGCTTACAGACTTAAAAAGCCTGTTTTTGCAAACTTTGACCTCTTATAAAAAAAAAACATGCAAAATCTCAAGTTACACGGTATATAAGGCATCTATTTACATTATTTTTTACATATTTTTGACAGATTTTTCCATATCTGTATTATCGTTGAAAATGACGCCTTTTTGTCTATGTTTTTTACCTTATAAATTACTAAGATTGTCATTTTTTAAGTGATAATTGACTAAGAACTATATAATAAGATTACAAACTATTTTCAGCAAAGTAAATGAATCCGCAGCTACAATAAATATTCAAATTACAGAGATATTCATAGTTCTATAACCAATTCCCAGTGACGAAACAAGCATAATGGTGGTATTAATACATGTCAATTTGACATTATATTGCTGCTTTTCAAAAATGATCTACAATGAAACAACTCTATCTCATAAAGTCTACGGAATTTTATGGTAAATTTAAAGGCTGCCTTGAGTTGACAGAAATACGAAAAACATTAGATGTAAGATACAGATTATTGGAAAAAGCTAAAGAACTGAATATAACAAATGTTCCACTGAATCTAAGTTGTTATAAATGCACAACACACACACACACACACACACACACACACACACACACACACACACACACACACACACACACACACACACACTCACTCTCTCTCTCATTATAATTAAATTTAGTTTCCAAGGTTAGTTGCTAGGAGTATTTGAATTGTAGAATACACAATGAATTTCCCTTATAATAATATATACATTTAAATGTCTAGTAGATTAATTTTTTTTTCATATTCAGAAGTAGTTGTAGTATGAAGAATAATTTTACATCTATAATAAAGGAATCTACTTTTCCAGCCATATCCAAATATTCACCAATTAAAATTAGAGGAATTCATTAAAAATTAATGTTTTTTAAAAATAAGAAGTTTTAATTGAAAATCAAAATATTTTATAATGAAAGAACAATTACATAAATCAACATTAGATTATTTAAATAATTTATTTCGTATTATTCATTAAATACATGGCCTAAGCATTGAAAAAGTCAATGCTTAGAATGAACACAAGTGCTAAAAGACAAAATAAAAAAAATTTAGATAAAAAAAATTATAGAATTTGTACCTGTAGTTCTTGCAGTAACTTTTACCTTAGCATTCAAATTTAAATAAATGTATAAATACTTTTACATAACATTATCATTGAGATATAGAGATCATCATTTTATTCACACTGGTTGAAAAAAGTACTTTGCTTTTCAAAACAAACTGACACAAGTTGTAATTTGGTAAGTAAAGAGAAGAAATGCAGAAACACTTCTTGACTAAGTTTCCAAAATAATTTCGTTGAGATGTATTCAATGTTACCTTTTTCTTTCACCCTTTTGAGTTTTACGCTTCTCTTTTTTTTCTTCTTTAAGTAATTTTTGTTTCTCCCTAAAAAATGAATCATACATATTTGCTTACTTAAAAAAAAAAAAATAATTTGTTTATAAATGAATTAACAGAAAAAATAAATAAAATGACTTTCTTACAAATGACCAAATATAAGTACAAATATACCTGTCTTCTTTATCTTTTTCTTTTTTTTTCTGACTCTCTTGCTTGGCTCTCTCTCGTTTCTCTCGTTCAGCTTGTATTATGTTAGTTACATTAGTATTTTTCTCGATGCCACAGTCGCCAGCAGAACTTCCTCCTCCTCCGCCACCACAAACTGCAGTTCCATCATCGTCTCCTTCTCCTTTGCTTTCTTCTTCATCTGACATTTGACTATACTGAGCTAATATGGCTTCTTTTATTCTTTTTTCCTCCTCTGTATGATTACTTTTATGAGAAGTGGTTGGAAGGTTTTGAGATTCCAGCATACGCACCAGCCGGACATCAACATCTTCTTTTGGAGCACTGTCTCCTGGGCCATCTATTGTCTGGTTCCACTTGGCCCAAGCTTCAAGGATTTCATTGACATGTTTTTCAATATCATCTTCCTGAAAAACAATCGACATTTAATATACTACTCATTGATTTCGTGCGATGCTCATGTGCAGCTTCGTTAATTGCGAGGTGTATGAGAAATAAACAAAAAGCCTCTTCACTTAAAATTCACTCTCGGATAAAAGACGTAACGAACATGATGCTAATTTTTCCCCTAGAGAACTCGCAAAAAGCGCGAGAGGCAAAAATGGCAAAAAGTTGATCGTGATCGAATATTCGATAGGTATTCTAAAAGCGCGCTGTTACATTCTAACCTCACACTGCTAACGGTCCCTCACCGTTATGCCGGCGAGAATGCCCTCCAGTGCCTCAGTCTTTTCGTCCTCGGTTTCATATCCTTCAAGAATGCCTTTGATGTAGGCGCCGAACACACTTTCATCGGTCTTCAATTCCTGGAGCTTGCTGCTTAGCCAGGAATCGAAGTTCACCTTCACCACCGCCATTGCGTGCCCGCAAACCTGCCTCCAGTTTTGCCCGCGATACGTACACCTAACCTGTGCCACAACTGGCTAGATATATTATATTGCCCCCACTACGCTAAGCACTGTGAGCGAAGCGTTATTCGAAGCAGGTAATCAGACATGCAGACTCGAATATTTTTTTAGCGTTGGTCTTGCGGCAAAAAGAGCTTCGAAGAGTTGCTGCCATTGCTCTCCCACTGAAATGATATGCAGCTGCGCAAATTTAAGTTGCTCGGCGAGTTTTGCTGCGGCTAATGTATGTGCCGTCCCGAGATGGACTCAAAGTCAAATCATGATTATTTTTTCTTATTTTTTTTCCTTTTTTCACATAAGTAATCTTCAGTGAATAATCGGCGTAATTAGTTATGTACAGGGTTGGAGAGTATAAATGTTGAATCGGTTTTAACACAGCGTCCTACAAAAGAAAAACTGGAATCGAAGTAGGGGCGAGGAAGTATAGCCAATTTGTTCAAGTCTGCTATCACTTGCACGTGGCTTTTAACTTAAAAGATGAATCTTTCACGTTACCAGGTGTGTTTAGTAATTTGAATAATTCGTTCCGAATGACATTGCGCTTAAATATTCCATTTTATCTCGCAAGCACGGTAATAACGAAGTTTGTTTAGCGCGTATCCTTATCGATTCGAACGCGAGAATTAAGGATTTGTTAATAATGACAATGTGCTTGTATCTAATTTAAAAAACGCTTTGACTTTTCGCTGGAAAAACTTGATTGTCAATTGAAAACAATTTTTTAATAATAGGAGAATCAGAAAAAAGGGGCCCAGTGCATCTTGAGGGCATATACATACCACACCTCGCCATGTTTATTTGTTTACTTTACGCCTGTATCCCGCTGTGTTCCGACACTGTTGTTCGTAAATTTGACCTTCTGCCAAATTGTAGCTATTGACATTTGGGAACGGCAACTGGTCTTGGGTGAACGCTACCGTCATAATCTTTCTTAGGTAAAGGTGTCGTCTAAAAATTTTAATTGACACATTTTAGGTCAGATCAATCGCGAAAACGTCATTGAACAATGAAAACTTTTTATAAAGATACAATAGATTTCATAAATCGTACTAGTTTAAAATAAAAAAAATAATCCAAATCAAACCTAGATCCCGTGGCTTCTGAAAGAAAGTATCGGATGACTTATTTTTTTCAGGAAAATTTTGAACCTACAAACAATAATAAATTACTTTAACTTTATCTCTTACGTATTTTAGGGAATTGCGCTATAAGAAAGCAAGTGAGATGAAAAAGAATCTAGTCTTTTTGCTAACTCAAATGTCTACTTACATTTTTAAATAAAATAATACATGGACATAGATTCAGATTACATAAGATTCAGATGTGATTTTATAGCATTTGGATTAATATTCATTTAGTAATTTAGTAACGAATCAAAGAACATGAAATTTAAAGAAATACTTACGACGAAAATCAACAGGAAGATCAGTGTCGATAAAAAACAAGAATACAAATAGATTCATTATTTCTCGTTTGATTTACGGTTTTTGGAATCTGCAGCGAAGTATAATGTAGCTTATTTATTATTGTTATTTCAAAGACTAAATTGATTCAATTAGTAGAGGTACACGAAGTACTTTGGTACGACGATGAGAGGCATGCAGACCAGTTTCCGACCAGTCAACGATCGTTTCATGCATTGATACGGTGAATGATTTGTATTATTATTGTGTTGTATTACACGCTAATCGATGTGGCAAAAGTGGCACTCAACATAACATCTGGTTGCAATATACCCAATTTGATTTAATTACGACAACCATTATCGTACTTCCGAGGGATTCATCAAACGTGTAATAACAGTTTTATTTTTATTGATCGCTCAGGGAACTTTCACGTGTTACCGCTTCAGACGGGATGTGGGAAGTAAAAGGCTCATTTTTTGTATTTTACACAGTACTACGTACGAATTTTCCCGAAAACTTTCAGATATTATTTGATTGTCGTCGCATTTCCAGCTTACGCCGAACCTATATCTTGATGCTTGTGACTTTAGCTTCTGAAGGCTTCATTTTTGTTAAGGCGTTTCTGCACGCGCATTAGTATGTATCGCGGAAAATCTAAGCATCATCGCAAAACTTTGAACTGCCGTTGTCTGATCTATCGGAATTTGACCGCAACATTATTGGCCTCTTTGGGCTTTCTGTAGAAAAGTAGACTTGTTAAGTAATATTAAGCTAAATTCTTGCAATCTCGGTTCTTGAAAGAAGCGCTTGCAAATTAACTGAATATTTACTTGGATGAGTTATTACTAAATGCCGTATTCTATGTAATTTATCACAGATGTTACGTTAGTTTTATTCGTTCTACATTAAATTAAATTCAAAGCTTTTAAAGTCAGCCAATGCGAATACTGAAGAATACATAGTGTATATAATTTGTAGTAAATGATCTCTAAATATATAAATGTGTTTAATATATGTATTTTTTTTATTATTTAAATTTCAAAAGCCTACGTGAATTGTGAAGGAATTAATTTGTCTAATTGTTTCTAATTATTCAATTTGGAGCATTCATCAAGAACGACTGTATTTTTTAGGAATAACAAGTTTCAATTGAAAATTAAAATATTTTGCAGTAAAAGAAATTAACGAATAAAAAAAATGCCAATCAATGTATAATTATTTATATAATTATCTCACAGTATCGCTTTAGCAACATTGCCTAAATATTAAACTGAATAACAAGAAAGAGTTAGTGGATAAAATATTTGAATTAAAACAGTTACAAAATTTGTCATCGAGACAGACATTAGACATCACGTTTTATTGACACTGGTAGAGAAAAGTCCTTAGCAATCCAGGGACACTGTTGGGCTGCTTGGCGATCAAGAAGAAATGTAAGTAAAATACAATGGTATATGAAATCTTAATAGAAGTCAAATATAATGCGATTGAATGCAAATTCATTCTGGAACCTAAATGCACAGAAAATAAAAGAAATCTTTTCAAAATTGATTGTCAATACCGAATATAAAATTTGTATATCTCTTCAATGGATTATTGTTTAATATTTAGCATCCGATTGATATGACACATAAAGATACTTTTTAAGAAAAAAAAAACAAATATTATGTAAACAACTTTCTGTTATAGTACAATTACGATGAGATCTGACATTTTTAAAATATACTTCAATTGTTATTTAGTTGAATAAACGTATCGATTAGCTAGTCACGAAACAAAAAAAAATTTTTTTTGAAAATTTTATTGATTTTGACAATTCGCATTCGATTATTGAAACAGTTGTAACAATGGAAACTGTTCTTAGAAAGTAACATACTCTGGTGAAATTTACATAATAACGCATCAAACATTTTATCACCGGATCTTAATTTTGCTATTTATTCGGTGTTATATTTGCTTTTGGTATCTGTATTTTATTATTCTTTTACTTGATAATCTTACCAAATATTTACTACCGAGATTTATTTTGTAGTTAAATAATAATAATTGTCCGTACTTAAAAAATGTAAACAAAAAATCTCTTTCCTCGACAAACTATAACAAAATTAAATATAATAATAGTATTGACTAATAATAATAGTAACAATAACGTGAAATAATCGAAGTCATTTACTTCCAAAATACGTTTTATTATACGATTATACGGTTCAAGAACTCGTCGAATATGATTTATTTACTAGTCATATTAACTACGTCGTACACTCATTCTTGATCACACATATTTTTTATACGTACAAAATCTAAAACTGTTCCTATTTAGAGACCATATCATGGAATTGCGATTATTTTATACTAAAGTTTTCACTGTCAACATATCTCTGTTACAAAGAAATTTGCGAAAATTAGAAATTTAACTCTAGTAAATACTCATTCATTAATTTTGGGATGTTTTTTTTACAATTTATAAATGTATTTCACATAATCAACAATTTTTATTATCTATAAGGTCAAATATTTAGAATTCGCGTATATCACTCTGTCGTTCATTCATCTCACAATTCCGTTAAGTCGCAATAAAAAATCCTATTTATAGATAAAAAAAATTGTAAATATAAAATATAATGAAAGATGATACATCCGGCAGCTAAACTTGAATGTCTTATGAAACATCTTTGATTTAAAAAACTACGCGATACTCTGGAATTTATAAAGCAATTACATAAAAATCCACTCAGCTCATTTTTATAATAAATGGTTTGGTCAATCGTAAACACGTATATTAAGCGCAACTTCTTATCACGTATAACATTTTCACTTTTAAGGAACAAAAATGTTTACAATCTTTATTTTAAAAAGAACACAAACGTTTCCACTATTTAGGCAATAATAATTGAATGTACACGTACATACAGACACACAATGTCCTAAGGTCTAGTTAAGCTGGAGGATACAGGAAAGGAGAAACAATAAAGCAAAGGTAAAATAATTACAAGTAAAGCATTGATTTATTTTGATTGTTAAACAAAAAATAAATATGTTATCGACATTTCAAATTGTGTACTATTTTTGAAACGAAAAAAGTAAAAATAAAAAAATAATTTTTTTCCCGGCTGACGATGAAACGCAACGTAAAAAGCATGATTTCAGTTCGTGCTTCCTTAATAATGTAGACACGCTCACGTATACGTACAAATATAGCGCCCGAACAGCGCAGGATATGAAGTGGGCATTACCAATCCGTTTCTGTAAATGTTATTTTACAAAAATAGCTATTCGCAACGTCACGTTATTATTATTTCCTTTCAATTCAGAAGAATGAAAAGTTCGCTGTTAAATTTGCATTACACAGATTACATATACACATACACGCGTTTATGTACACGTTAATCGTGGCCGGGGAAGTAATTTACAAAATTTGGATTTCATTGAATGTTTTATTGAAAAAATTGTTTTTTTTTTTTCTAAAGAACCATCAATCGGTCATCACACATTGACACGCAAAACGACTAATTAGGATAAAAAATCGTAGTCAACATTCTCAATACGACTACTTACCGATTTCTTTCATTGTTTTTAATTAGTCACATGTCGTGATAGCACCGAAGCATCGAAAAACGAATGAAATAAAGCACTATATAAGAAGCAAAGAAAACAAAAAAAATATGGACAACTTTTTTGTCATAGTGACGACTACGGTGAGACCAGATATCACACAACTAACTTAAGTAATTGTGACTGACGTATAAACTAATAGTTAAGGAGACTAACAGTAATTATAATAAACGTATAGATAAGCTGGTCACGAGACAAAAAAATTTTTTTAAGATAATCGCAGTGATAATTGACTGCACTATGATAACAGAACTTAATACAGGCTATAAAGGAGATCGTACATTAGTTAGTACAAGAAAACCTATCATCGCAAAAAAATCTTGCTTATAATACATGTTTTCTCTTTAGAATATGGAAAATCAACTGATTAGGTCAGTTTATAAAGGTAAAAATAGTCATATTATCGTATAATACGTCGCTTTTTAAATAATCGTTGCTCGATCGACTTTTAAAGTGTGCATAAACAAGATTCTTTGCGAGGTAACGATCTATCGCTGTATCTGTAAGACTTACATTTAAATCAAATAATAAAAGCCAAAGCTTTTTATCCATGCCGATATAATCGAAAATGTTGCTAAAAATTAACGTACTTTGGTAAAACGTACATAAAGACGTATCAATCGTTTTATCACGGAATTTCAATTTCGCTATTAATACATAGCTATGACTTTCTTGGTATACCCAAGAATACTCAATATAAGTACATTCTTCAATTTGCCTTTAACTAGTTATAACATCTGCGACTTTTTTCCACTCTTTACTTGATTCTGAAATTCTCTTTTTTCTTTATGATTACTCGTTGCCTAGATTTATCGGCCAAATATTTAAAAAATAATTTGTTCGTATTTAAAAAATATAAATAAAAAAACTACTTTTCTCGAGCAACGGTAATAGAATTAAAGTACAGAAAATAAAGAATCGCAATAAACTATACTCTTCTGTAATGACCTAGCAAAGCAAATATAACAATATAATAATAGTATTGACTAATAACAATAGTAACAGCAACGTGAAACTCGCACATTCGACGCTGATAACAATTTTTGTTAATTCACCACAGTTTTTTCAATAATTAAGATTTCAAGGTGGCAAAAGTTGGGTCACAAAAAAACTGCTCGATAAAGACGTGCGCACGTGTCACCATGAATAAGAGAGAGAAGTTATAAGCCGTATGATCGTACAGAAAAAAGATACATTTGTTACTTCAGAAATAACGATGACGAAAAACACAGAATCTGTGGTTAAGTGTAAAAAATAGCAGAACACCGTCGCTACTTATGACTAGGCTAATTCATGTTTGCAGGTTGTATGCTGTGTGCGTGTGTGTGTGTATGTGTGTGTGTGTTAGTGTTGATTATTGCATAAATCGACTGGTGAACTCATAATAGCGTTTCTGTGAAATTTACTTTACGGTAAGTACAGAAATTATTAAATAAGTAAAACATCTTTGGCAATTCGTTCAATGTTACATTTTGCACCACATAAAAAAGAATTTATTTAGATTGAAATTTGCTGTTACTTTAAGAAAGAAAACTGATTAAACATTTAACAGTAAAAATACAAAGTCAATAATATTTAAGTACAAGAAAAAATTTTTAACGTTTACTGACGCGAAAAAACATGAATAGATGCCTATAACTTTTCTCTTAAAAAACTTATACATACATGCTTTGATTTGTCTTACGTTATTTTGAACATTAAGGTTTTACGAAAAACTTGATAAAAGTTGAAGATTTCATTTGAACAATGGAAAAACCGAACGGTACAATATGAAGTATAACGTACTTGTATGTTGACGAAGAAAACGATATTGAGGTATTTTTCATAATGAATAAATCATAAACGTCAGTGGCACTGAATTTAAGAACATTGATGAATTTCACTTTCGACGCACATACACGTATTGATTATCAATTATGAAAAAAAATGCCCAAAATTCGAGAGACTTCTATTTTAAAGAAAAAAGCCTTTAGTTCTTTAGCTTCGTTATCTCTGGTAACTGCTTAAGTATCTCTCCCTATCTTATGTAGTACTCACGTAATCGACGTTGCTTACAATGGGCGAAAAAAATATTTTTAGAAAATCAAATAAACGAATCATTACGAACGAAACAAAGCTAAAGCTTATAGAAAACTGAATAGAATCAATACCAGCCTAAAAATCGTACATTTTTACTGGTTATCTTTCAAAATAATTCTTTTTAACGATAAATTATCTGAGCTTAGCTCCAGGAATTTCATTGTTTATCTACGGTACTTTTACAGTGAAGTAGCAAATATCGCTAGTGAAGGTGCAAAGAAGAGAGAAAATAATTGAACATCACATGCTCAAGAAAAAAATCGCATTGTACATGTGTATTTCTCATTGCTAAATTTCTTTTTCTTCTTAGTTTTGTTTTTTTTTTTCGTTAATTATATATATTTTTATATAAACACTTGCGCGCAATCTTTTTTAGCTTTGCTAGGCTCCACGCTATTTTACAATCTTATTACAAAGTCTTTTTAAAAAAAGTCTCCTCGCACAATATCGTAGCGCATCCAAGTCTTTCGGTCAGATATTCACACGAACAATTGTCTACTTATTTGTCCCTCAATTCTGTTTATACATATAATTAGTTTCTTTTTGTTATTCTGAAGGAATTGGGCATCGCGTCGAGGATGATGAGAGAGGAAGAGTTAAATAATGCTGCGCCCGGATCCTGCGGTTGGCTCCCAAAGGCTAATGCATTGCGTCCACAGAGGGATGCACATACTTGAGATCTGAACCGCGATTTTTGTCAACAGCAACGTAAAAGAAAAAGTCGTTTTTTTTATGTGTCTCTCTTTTCAACAAAAAGATACTTCTGTCGCTAGTCAACGTTCAAATTTGCCCACCAAAAATTCTTTGCCTGTTACGTAGCACTGTGTGCACTTTCTCCCCTATACATTATTATATATTATATTACCGATGCACTTGCAAGACAATCTCTCACGCCATTACATATACGCACGTACAAACATATACATACACATTTATTATATGTACAGAGTTATAAAACTGCGACGCTTGTGCATTTGACTGTTTTTTTGTTTGTTTTGTTATATAGTTTCTTTGGCGCCTCCTTGTCTTAGAATAGCATTTTCTTCCTTGATATCGTCTCTCTTGAAAAGTACTTGATCACGTCTACACATAAATTTTCTGCACACTCTTGCCCCGAAGATCCGACTGGTTATTAGTTGTATAAGTATATTAATGAGTTGGTGTGGTATATGTGTGTTGGCATACGTAAGAGAGAAAAAAGCCGCCTAGTAGATTGTGAACAAATGATTTGAGCTACGATTACAATAGAATTTTAAACTCACACGCACGCGCACATACATTTATGACATATGTCTGGCTGGTTCTTCTATAGCTGGTGTCCGATACTAGGGCGCAATGACTCTCTCGAACGATATAAATCAACGATGACGAAGAAGATCGGCGAACGCATACTGTTTATATATACGTGTTGTTGTTGGTGGTGTGCGGGAAATGCGGATGTAGCGTGTGAGACTAAGATATACACACTGATCTTGGTATATAAATGTCGGAGGTGCGATGAATTAAGAGACAGTGTGAATGAGAGATAGAGAGAGGCGATGACAGACATAAGAGGGTTGAGAGGAAATGTATGTATAATGGATATTCCAAGAGTGAAGAAATCAAGGATCGGATCAATGACTGACCGATCGTTTGAGAGACAGACATGGCACGGCGACTCCGCTCGAGAATGTACACGGTCACAACGTCACAGGCCACCTGCTGGCACACAAACAAACACACGGACAGGTTAGTCACCACCACACTGGATAAAATACATACTCTAGAGGCATTTCCTCGTTAAATTCATATGCGCAAGCGTTAAACATTCAGTTGGCCTACTCTCTCTGTGCGAGATCTCGGCCTCTTGGCTTCTCCTGCCTGTGTTACGACTCACTAATTGCGGACAAGGAAAACGACGAAGAGATGGTTTGTTAGCACCCTCGACAACATTGCACAGCCTGATAATTGACCTGAAATACGAAAGCTACCGGAATATACGCATCTTACGCCTTCATTTTCCTTATCCGCCACGGCAGTTATCCATTTTTATTGGCTCCTGCTCGAATTCTTTAGAAAGTTATGTTTGTTTTACATAATTAATTCACAAGTATGAAATAGACTTACGTTAACATATTTAAAAAAGATACAGGATCCAAGTTTTTACCACAAAAATTAGAACAGGAAGAACGCGTGATGAGCGTAGGAGAGGCCAATAGAATTTTTTGCGAGATACTTAACGAGAAAACCTCAGAGGATAGCGTTTTTTATTTATGTTTTATCTAATTACACAGTCTCTAGTGACATTGAGTCGTATACGTGTTTAAAGGACTTTTATGTGTATATAAATAAATCTCAAGTTAAGAACAAATATATTTTTCGGGAAGCCATTATCAATGTGTGAACTAAACAAATATATATATATATATATATATATATGAAAAAATATATAGACTGACCAGCTCCCCAAAAAACTGAACAAATAAAGCATTTTTGAGGTAACATGTTTCTGGCGCTAGGAAATAAACATTACTAATAAACGGTACCAATAGTCTACTTGAAACCATCATTTTGCGGCAAGACAATGTCAAAAAAATTATAAATAAAGCATGGAACAGTAATCATTAGTTTGCTCAGCTAGGTATTTGCAATTATTTCAATGCAATAACGTTTGTTTTTATGTGATTTCTTTATACAAGGATCTTGACACCACCATTGAGAGTTCTGGCTAATAAAATATGTTAAACAATTCGACAAAATAAGAGATGACTACAAAAAAGATTGCACACTGAAAACAAGAAAATAAAATTAAGTAATCAGTCTTAGGAATCTGAGGCATAAGTATTGTACTGAAAAAAGCCTCCCAGATAATAAACATGAAAGCCACAGTTTTTAATCAACGCGTCACAATTTCAACTGCCATCATCAGTACCATGTTAATACTCAACAGGCAAGAAAAGAATTCACGTGGTTAACTACAAAAAAGAGAAGCGCATGAAATAACAAAAAAAATGGTTAAGTTTCTTTTGTCCTATTCGTTCGAAAGATTGCAAACAAAGAGACATGATTGATGATTTTCGAATTTGTCGCAATGAAAACGCGCGATTACGCGTCCGCGTGCGCGCAATTCAATTGGAAAGAGAAACAGAGAAGAGAGCGAGAGAGAGCGAGAGAGAGAGAGAGAGAGAGAGTGAGAGAGAAGTAGAAATAGATCGATCGTTCGAGCATTACTGGGTAGTAGCAGCATTGGCGCGCGCAAAAAAAAAACACCCGTCGAGGTGGGCCACCTGTCAATGGTAGCTAGCGTATATGGAGTGTATTTTTTTTCGGATCGTTGCAGCAATCGGATTTATTAGTCGTGCACGAATCAAGTTATTGCTACCGGTGAGTTTTTCTACGTGAACAAAAAAAAATAAAATATTAAAAGGAAAAGTTCGTGTCCAGAAAAAGTATTTATGCCGGAGATAAAACTCGGATGGATGCAATAGCATAGAAGCAACGACGGCGGCAGCATGTCAGTGTGAAAAGATGTCTCCGTAACTCTGTGGGGTGGATGGGGGTGATATATACTAGAAAGAGAGAGAGAGAAAGAGAGAGAGAGAGAGAGAGAGAGAGAGAGAGAGATAGAAAATATTCGCGTGACTACGAAATAAAGGAGTGATAAAACGAATTGTGTAGACGAATGGAATAGAGATTACTCCGTAGTCCAATAACAACGACGACGGCGGTGAAAACGAAAAAAATCTTCAGCGTAGAACAGTACGGCCGCCTGCCCAGTAATGGCGTGTATTTTCATCTATACAGGAATAGAATATTCGCGCGTTGCACTTGTTTCACAGACGGAACAAACAAAAAAATGAAAATGTAAAATATCAGCTGATGATAGATAAATTTAATAATTAAAACCACTGATTTTCCATCAGTCCATCGTTATTTATAATACTACAACATCGTATACTTTCGGCTCTTGTGTTTCTCAAAGCAACCAACACTGTTGCAATATTATCAATAAAAATGAACTGATCAATTGTCAGTAGTTTTAATTATTTATTTAACAAAAACGAAAAGAAAAACATTAGCAGTTTTCGCAAGCTTTAACCTTTTTATCTCGGTAATAAAGTACTGTATAAAATTTTGCCTGACTAGCGAGCAAATTTACGATGTATATGTACAGAACATCTTAAAAGTATCACAGTGACGCTTATGTGTAGTTGGCAGCATTTTGGTCATTTTTTTATTTTGTCCGGGAAAAGGAACAAAAGAAAAAGAATAGAGAAAAAAAGAGAGAAAGAGAGAGAGAGAGAAATATAGAGAGAAAAAGAGAAAGAGAGTAAGAAAGAGAGGGAGAGAGGGAGAAAGAGAGAGAGAGAGAGAGAAAGAGAGTTTAGCACTCTGCGACTTTGCAGTCAGTGTACTGGAAATACTGAAAATCCGACTAGAGAAGAGAGTGAGAGAGCTTTGGGCCCAGCGACCATACAAGAGAAAAATAAAATACTGTCCTCTAATAATACTTTACGCTCAGTTTAACATCAGCCTCAATAGAATATACACGCTTGAACACATAACTCGTTGCACTCAAAACAATTACGTGTTCAAGACTTTTATATATAAAAATATAGAATTTGTCTTTTTTTTTTAATCAGCCTCGCTCATAGTATCCGTTTTGTTGTTGTACTTTTTTGAGTTATCTACCTACTGATGGGGAAATCGTTGACGTCGGGCTAGTAAGGTTTGACGTCCTTCGACTTTTTCAACTGAACTTTTAGTCGCTTGGTGCCGATTTGGAAGCCGTGCATCATTTGAATCGCCTTCTGAGCGCTCGACGGTTTGTCATACGATACGAAACCTACAAGAGAAATGGCGATAAATAAATTGAAGATAGAAAGCAAAGAGAAAAGTAATCAAAGACTAACGGCAGCGAGGCTTGGAAATTGGATCTATTGAAAATGAATGGTTTGGCAAGTAACGAAGAAAAGGGTTAATCGAGCAGGCTATTAATTGCGAAAATTCATTTACCGAAGCACTTGCTCTTCTTGGTTTCCTTGTCGATGAAGACCTTGGCCGAGAGCACATTGCCGAAAGGCATGAACATGGTCACGAGGTCGGTGTCGGTGTATGTGTGGGGCAGGTGGTAAATGAAGAGGTTGCAGCCCTCGGGACCCTCGATTTGCTTGGACAGTAATCGAAACTCGTTAAAGGTCGGCGTCGTCGGCACCGCGGCCGTGGCTGCTGGCGTTGTGAACGTAGGGAACCCTGCAAGCGAACAAATCCAATAAATTCTCTAGAGCAAGCTCTGCTTTTAATCAAGCCAATCTCTATGTATAGACAAACAGAGCTTTTACGTTTTCTTTAACTCGTTTTCTGGAAAAATCATATTTATGCCAAGAAAAGAAGCACGAACAATTACGCGGAAACACAGTTGCAGAGTCAGACTGTTTTTTCGTTTCCGTCATGTTGAAACGCGCAAACTATTTTATCTTAACAATCCGGAAAATTATATCATGTTTCTTGAAGTCGCGATCCGTCAAGTTTGTTATACTTTTTTTTAACGACGCTATTTTTCTACTCATACGTTCTGTTTGAATGAACAAACGGTAAATCGCGACGTTTCAAGACTATTCGCGTACAATGCCATTGAAGGAAAAGAAAAATCGTGTCATTACAACGCTACACTGGAGAACTTCCGTCCAACGTGTAAATGGAACAGAAAAGATCACATTGCATCTAATTGATATTCTACCAAGTAGAAAACGTTGCAAAACTATTGACATAATAGAAAAAAAATACAATAGTACGCACAACACAAGGTTTTTGTTTACTGTACACCTTCATTCCTTGACAAATTACTTACTGTGTAATACTGTATCTTTCTTTTCCACAGTGACTGTAGTCTTTCCAATGAGCGCTTTGAATTTCATACGAATGTTTGGTTTAGATGAGCGTTTATCATTTGAATTTCGTTGAAAGTCAAGTGTTATTCGGTACTCGCGAAAAAAGGTTTGCCGACCAACCTGCGTACTGCTGCAAGCTGGAGTAAGCGTTGCTGAGCGACTCCTGCAGTCCTCCAAGCGGCGTCCCCGTCAAGGAATTCAAGGCGAGCGACGTGACCGGGCTCAAACTGCCACCACTCGACCCTGAAACATCGTCCGAGGCGAGCGTCAGTCCCCGAGATACGTGGCTCGCAGCCGTGACGGGACGATGCCAATGTAGGAAAACAGAGAATGTACAATGTTTCCAGTCGCGCACAACGATGTTGCAATTATGACATAATAGTGATGCTGCCAACACTGCATGCGCCATACCAACTTTGCGTGACTTACAAGCTCTCTAATGCGCAATACGTAACGACTTGTCAAGAGACGAGTTTCATGTAAATCAATGCTTTGTATCGATGTTTTTTTTTTAGTTCATATGTGGAAATGGTTAATTTCAAAATCATCGCATGATGCTGGAATGGAGTCGTATTGATGGACCGGAAATGATGCTAGAGATGAGTATACATTAAGTGTCTTTTATAATTCTGGAAATTAGACTGATGGTAATTAGAAGAAACGCTATGTATACTCATTTTATTACGTAATAAATAATTCGACTAGCAGGTATGTAATCAGTAATAAGCTTTGTTCACACGCAATACTATACAAAATTAATAGTCCATAAGCTTCGGATGTCAAATAATTAGATAATTCTTAATCAACATAACATGCTTTAGATATAATCAATTCTATTATATTAAACGAATATTATAACGTCTAACACGATACCAACGTTTAGAGATAAATAAATCATGTGCAAGCATCATCATCATAGTTACTAGCCAATTAGTGCAGGATTAAAATCAACAAATACTTTACAAGGACAAAAAAAGAAATAGACGACAAACTTGTAAAAAAAAATAAATAGTTTTCCCACAAGAAACTTCAAAAATTGTATGCAAGAAGATGTGCGGAGATTAAAAAGGACTAAAACACATTCACCATAGCATATTTGCTACTCTGAGAACCTACGTAGTTACTCAGACTTGGTTTGTTCTCTCAAATGTATGGAAAGCATTAAAAAAACAACGATTTGGACAAAAATGTATACGGCCAGCGAAACTAATATAGACACCAAACTGCGACATCTTTCACGGCTATCTCACCTGTACTTCCTGTCTTTCCGAGTAGGGCAGCTACAATGTGCGACGGTCAACAAAAAACAAAGAGATATTCATTAAAATTTCATTTGAAGAAAAAAAAGAAAAGTGTTACTGGCGCTTCCCTCCCCTGCACCTGATATTTTTACGTTACGACCTCATTAATATTATAAATGGATTTTTCAGCTTTGTATTTTTAACCGTTCGAAATAGCACAAAACTGTCGCGAGAGCGTGGCGCTCGTCCATCACTGCTAGCGCGTATACACCGAGGGAGAGAAAAACACAGTGGCAATTCCGATATAATTTGACGCACGCAGCCAACAATGATTAATGAATATGGAAACGGCAAGAAGAGGCGTGGTGTCATAATTGAAAAGAATAAAAAAAGAGAAAGGGATAAGTATTTTTGTAAATATAAATTTTAGTAATGGTTAATACTATACCAGGCATACGACACGTACATAGCGACATACCTGCTGACGAGTTGGCCAATCCGCTCAGCGCTAGAACACACATTGTTTTGCTGTATTAGTGCAAGTACTTGGCCGAGGCAGAGATAATAACGCTCTTTTCTCTTTCTCCTCGCGTTTTTCGAAACATTTGCACGGATTGTTAGTCATGGTACGAATAAATCAAAGATGAAAAGAAGCTTCAAGAAGAAATATATGCTCGCTTGCAAATAACACACTTGACTGTACCAGTGGGTTAGTTGAGAGAGGAGAGAGCGCTTTCAAATGCCTTTGCACGAATAGAAGAGAGGTACGAGTAGGTGTAATGCTGTACAAAAGGGTGGAGGGGCAAACAAGTTGTTAATTTTCCAGTGTACTTACTGCTTGGGGAAACTTGAAGATTGTTAGTGCCGCCAGTCATGGCTGCCAGAGTAACAAGGTTCTGCATGCTTATCGGCGATACCCCCGCGTTTGCTAAAACAACAATGTGAGCTTAGCGCTACGGCGAATCTCGCTCCAAGGCCTCGGATTCTCGCAGCATAAAATATCGAGCGCGCGACGCCCAGGGAATATCGATTTGGCCCTTGGGCAAACGTAATAAAAATGAGAGCCGAGCAATAAACTAGCCGGCACTCGAATTAACGGAGAGATACGCCTTGTTTCCGATATTGCCGAGTGCGCTTTGCATATCTCAAGCAACTCCTGCGTAGGCAGAGGGTAAAGTTTTTAATAACACAAGCCCGTCGGAACCGTGACGATCGCGAGCACTCGTTGGCGGTAAGGTTTCTCGCGGTAAGGTTCCGGTTTTGCCCTTTACGAGAAAACAATCGAGGAAAAAAAAAAGAAAAAGAGAAAGAAAAGCAGCCAATTAGATGAGACAGCGAGATTGGCGGGGGCTGCGCGCATCTGTGCTTGCCGGTATTTATCCGAAGTCGATACCGCGATTATGCGAGGGGGCAATATCGACTACACCGCGAATAACCGATTTCCAATCTACGCGCCGGTAGCTCTTTCAGCGACTAATTGTCTTCATTATCGGAAAGACTATCTTTCGTTGGGGTGGTTTGCTTCGTTGCGCCATTTCCCCATACGAAAAAAGGAACGCAGAAAGGGCCGGCTGCTCGCGGGCGAATTTCCAAGTGAAACGAAAGGCGGCGGGATCTCGGCGAATCGGACGTAATAAAGAAGCTGAGCGGTGCGCGACACTGACCATACTCACTGGCAGAGCCGCTCAGCGAGGCGAGCGTCGCGAGGCCTTGCAGATTGGCGGGGTTGATCTCGGGCGCGGCGGGCACGGTGGCGGCCTGAGCCGGCGTGACCGCCGACAGTCCGAGGTGCTGCTGCAGCAGCAGCTGGTGCTGCACGCTGGTGAGGGCGCTCGGCGCCGGGTTGGCCGCCACCGGCGTGGCCGCCGCGCCGGCCGAGCTCGCCTGCAACTGTTGCAGAAGCTGCAGCGACGTCGCCGCCGACGTGGGCGCTATTGCCGACGTCTCGTTCTGCGTGTGGAAATGCAGAGGGTTAGAGTTTTGATCGGTTTGATCGAGCTTGAAGAAACAGAATGGCAATCGGTTGTAGTGTCTTTTCCTGGCTTTGCGCGCTTTTTCAGCTTGCGCTAGCGAAAAGCAGCGAGCGTTGTGTGAAACTCATCAACGACAAGACATTCCTCGGTGACTTCATTAACGCGATAATTTCTAGTCAAAGCTTCGGCTTTCATTCGTAAATATTTCGGCAATAAAATCCAATCGGACTATTACGACCCATTGAATATCTTGTTGATGGAATTTCACAGATAAGGCCTAAGGCTGCGTGATAGTTGTAAAAAAGCGAATGGTTACCGTTGTCAGGTAGTGAGGAGTCATGTTCACCCCAGCAATGTTCCAGAGATTAGCCTGCATCTGCTGCAACCTTTTCTGATCCTTGTCCTTCTGCGTGTCGGCGAACTTGACGACCAGCGGCGACGAGCATCCCTGCGCGAGAAAAAGGCGAAGGTAATGATCGCATCGGCAATGGAAATTGACCGGTCGTCGAAGAGTAGTCGCGCGACATTAATGCTTAATCCGCGTAATTGTCGAGCGTCGTGCTTCGCTAATCTCGGCAGCGCATATAAGATTACCGCGGTCGCAGCGCCCAGCTAAATCAGTATGGCGGAGAGAGAGAGAGAGAGAACAGAGGTGACTAGCCGCGAGGAAGTCGGCACAAAGCCAACAAAGAAGTCAGTTGACATACAGACGTCGAGCCCCCACCGGCAATTCTATTTGCACGAGCGGGAATATTTTCGCGCAAAAATTCATACGCAACAAAAACGCCGGACGAAAACAAAATAGTATTGCGACTTTTTTCTTGCTCTTGCATGCGGGACACGCAGCTCTCTCTCTCTCTCTCTCTCTCTCTCTCTCTCTCTCTCTCTCTCTCTCTCTCTCTCTCTCTCTCTCTCTCTCTCTCTCTCTGTATCCTTCCGCCTGTGCGTACGTTCGTGTTGCCTTTGATGGAGTCTACGGCTACGAGTTATGGCCCTTCGATGGCAGCAGCGCCAGCGTTGGCGGATGGAGAGAAAGGAAATTGCGTTTGCTCAATAGCCTTTTATTTAATTAAACTCGGCATGCGCGCCGTGTCGATCGAAGATGCCCGCCGCTTTCTCGATTCTTCCTTCGCGTCGTTACTCCGCGCGAGCGCTTACCTCTGTCGACCTACATAATACGCGAGCCTACAATTAACTCGTGCAATGGCGCGAATTCATTTCCCCGAGTGTGAAATTAATGCGATCCAGAAATGCAGCGTTTTCTTTTTTTCTTCCTCCCAATAATGGGCTCGTCAGTCGAGAGAGCGCAATAAATCATCTCGTAAAAAGCAGCGGCCGGAAAATGCAAATAAAACAAAGAGAGAGAGAGAGAGGAAAACGAGCAGATCGCGAATCTAATGTTTAAGAAATGGCCCCTTGCGCGCATTATTTATGTATTATTCGCGGATCGACCTTGTTTCGACATCTGCATCTGGAAATTATTCCCTTCGCGGGCAACGAGTGGCGCGCAAGCAAGAGAGAAAAAACGACAGGCGAAATTAGTATTCGGGCGGGGCGTCGCGCGTCGAGGAATATCAAGCGGGCGCGTCGTTACCTCCATGGTCTGCGAGTGGTGCAGGCCCTTGATGGCCGAGATGGCGGACTGCTTGCTGGCGAAGGTGACGAAGGCGCATCCCTTGCTCTGGCCGCTCTCCCTCAGCACGGAGCACTCCTCGATCTCGCCGTATACCTCGAACATGTTCCGCACGTCGTTCTCCGTGTACTTCTTCGACAGCATCCCCACGAACAGCTTGCGATCTGTTGACAGACAACATTGCCTTGCGTAAGTCCTCTCTCTCTCGCTCTCCGCCTCCGCGCAGTTATATCGCGCATACCGATGCGCCTACTTTGTCATTACTTGTCGCGTTGCGCAACGCTCGCGCTCGCTTTAAGTATTGCGCAACCGAGGAGAAAAACCTGATTTCTGTTGGTCTTCGGAGGATGGCGAATCCGCGCGGTCTGCCGTCTCGCGCCGGCGAATCGCGCCTGGAGATCTTAATGCGCTGCCACACCGAACCGCACTGTTCTTACGGAATGATCGTGGAGGTGGATGCGCTGGGGGCGCGGCTGAGCGCGGATCGCGCACCTGGGCTCATTACGTTCGCCGAATCAGCGCTTTGCCGCGCGGCTCAAGAAATAAAAGTGCTTTTCGATATCCAGTGGAATCGCGACGCGATGCAGTTTTTCTTTTTTTTTAATATTGGCGACGCGCGTACACGCTGATCGACCGAACGAACGCTCGAGGATTCGCTATGTCTCTCGAAAGGCGAAAAAGTTTGAGTTGTCCTTCGGTATTTTCCAGAAAGTGGAAAAAAAATGAGAGAATATCGCAAGAGAGCGTCTCGAATTAAGCAAGCACTGCGGCGCTCCCTAAGTGCAAGCATTTAAAGTACGTCGTTTCTTTCTCGCGAGATTTTCATGAAACTCCAAGTGAGACAGAGAGGAATTCCTTTTTTCCGTTTTCTCTTTTTCGAAAAAGCCAGCGTGTGGTACGGCCATAATTTTACTCGCAGGAAGTTCTCTTTTGCGAGAGGCATTCGCAGCCAAGACGCAGTCGCGCAGGAGGTTGGCCAATATTTGTTTAGGCCTCTCTCGGCAAAGAGTCAGAAAAAAGCGAAGAACAGCAGGAGGAGTAGGAGGAGCCGGAGAAGGGGAGCGAAGAAAGGCGCTCGTGCAGCAAAGGCCGCTTATGTAAATTCTCATCTCGCGCGTGCGGCCCGCAAAGGAGAGTTTACGCGGCGCGTTAATTTGATTAGAAGCCGCGAAATAAGAAGCGAGCTGCAGTCGTAAATTCATTTGTTCGGCTAATTAGACGGTTGTAGGACGACGCGCGAGATGAAAAAACGTCGAGAGCGAGAGAGAGAGAGAGAGAGAGAGAGAGAGAGAGAGAGAGAGAGAGAAGGGTGAGAAACCTCGGTCGGGTCGGGTTTAATTAATTTCCTAGCAGTGTGCGCCGAAGCCCCGCCGCAGCGATCGGATTTCTCTGGACGCGCGGAGACCGAAAAAAAAATATTTCGCGTCGATACGCTGACCGGCGAGCCGGCGCGGCGCTGCTGTGCAGCCCTTACTCGTCGCGCGAGCGCGCACCGGCGTGTTTTTAATTTTCCTCGGCGAGCTGGAAATTTTTGATGGGGGATCCGCGTGCCCCAGCGATTCCTCGTTAATTAAAGCATTGGAAATACTTTCGGAGCGAGCGGAAGGCGGGAATAATTTCGATATGCCCGACGGCTCGATGACGATTCAATCGAATTTCCACGTGACAAATTGCCGCCGTCATTGGAGTCTCCTCGCTCGAAATTCGCAACGCGTGTGCCTCGTTGTACGACGTCTCGTCTGTGCAAGTCGATCACGGCGCAGAAGAGCAGGGACGGGATAAAGAACGAAAAAAAAATCAACGTCCACCCGCCGGAGAGACGCGTGCGAGCTTTTTAATTAGCGGCAGCTCGGTGAACGCGCGCGAGCAACTAATTGCAGTGCGATTACGTCTCGCCTCGAGGCCGCCAAAGGAGAAGACGCGGAGAAGCGCGCCTACGCCGTCGGGATCGAAATCACAATGAAAAGTAATCCGCGGATGCACGTGTGCTATCGGACGAAAATATTTGGCCGCGGTCCCTCGTCGGCATATTACAGAGTTGGACGGAGGAGCGGGATTGGATATCAGCAATATTTTGGCGAGGGTTGCACTAATGTACCGAAAGTAAGCGAAATTGAAGGATCGTCGTCGACGTCGCGGTCCCGAGGCAGAGGGAAAACAAGGAGATTTAAGGCAAACGTTAGACGCACGGCCTGGCTCGATGCACTCATCCAAGGCAAACAGCTCGATGCGCTTTACCCTTCGCAAGCTCGGCGACCTTTCTTGAATTTCAAGCTCCCGCGCGCCGATAACCGCATATTTTCGCCGGCGACCGATTTGCCGAGCTGTTTTTCCAGCGGAACGATAACAGCGGCTAACTCGATTATCTCTCCGTCTCTTTCTCTCTCTCTCTCTCTCTCTCTCTCTCTCTCTCTCTCTCTCTCTCTCTCTCTCTCCCTGGCTCCGTGCTAATAAGCTTCGGCCGCGAAGCAAAGTCAATATTTCTAGGACGAGTATGAGTATTTTCGGACGGGTGGGTGTGCGCGCGCCCAGGGCACAAAAGAGAACGAAAATGAGCGTCTGACTGACATGCTGTTTTCCCTCCCCCCTTCCCACAGAGTGACAATTTGACGTAATGACGTGTACACACGGAGCTGTCTATATTTTTAGATGACACGTCTCTCGCGGACTTGCCGCGGCTTTCGCGTTACGCTCGATGTTTCGAGTGGAAAAAATATGTTCGATCGTCGTCACGAGTGTCCTGGATAGGGTTGCAAGCGGAGCGAGAGAGAGAGAAATGTCGCGCTGGTTGAAATATCTTCTTCTTTTTTTTTTGCCGCGGTGCGGGCAGAAACTTTTAGTGGATTTGCTTCCGTGTCATGTCACGCGGAGAAAATGCCGGTCGAGAATTATTGGTCGGCGAAACTCGGTTTTTTCTTTTCTACGCGCCCGGGAAAATTTCGGCCGACGCGAGTTTTCCTTTTCCGCGTTACACATGTACTTAGTCGATTTCTTTCCAACAGCGCGTTGAATCGTCTTGCGCTCAGCAGCGAAAATATACTCCTTTCTTGTCTCGAACAATCGCAGGAAGTCATATCGATATCATTGAGGCTCGTAAAAAAGAAAGAAAAGAAAACACTCGGCAAAACACAACATTGAAAGTCGACTCTGCGCGAAGCGTCATTCAAATTTAAATAAACCATTCGCCCGTATAAATCTTATCGGGCGCGTCATCAAAACAACAAAGAAGAGGTCTGAGTCGAGGCGCCGACTTGGAAAAGGCTCTGCTCCGCGCCTCGCTTCTTATTCCTTGGCTGTATTATCGCAGTGGCGGCGTTCCTCGTAACGCAATCCGACGACACAATGCGATAAAACTATGAAGAGGAGAAATTGAATTTCGTCGCCGGACAATTATGGCTAGCAGCGCACTCGCAAGACAGCGCATCAGTATGCAAGAGGCATTTCGGCGTTTCGCCTGGAAGGAAGAGAGGAGAGGGGGGAGGGAGCCGCCGCAGAGGCATCGAATCCCATACAAATGACCAATTTAACGTCTGGCCTTTTCTCTTTCTCCGCCGAGCGCCGCTCCGGTGCTTTCGACTGCGCGCGCGCGGGAATCAATATTTATCAACGTTGATTCGCCATTTTCTCGAGAGCGACGTATCGAACGGCGCTAATGATAGGCGCGCGCCACCCGCAGAGGCTGACGAGCTTTTAATTCGGCGATACGCGTGCGGCGGATGGGCGCGGTGCTTTTTGCGCGTATATCGGTGCGCGCGATCGGCGCAACCGCCGCGTCATTTTGACACCGAGCTGTCCGCACTTTCTTTCTGATTTACGTCCCGGAAATTAGCGGCTGCGCGTGCCCTGGCATCGTTATGCGGCTCTCGACGTTTTCATTTCCAAGCGAAAGACTATTGTCATCCGCACGGGCATTTTTCGAAGACGGTTATTTGTCGCCCTTCACGAGCGCCTCGTTATTGTCGTTGCGTCGAAGAGACGCTGTTGCCGATATGCCATCGTAACATGTTATTCCACGGGAGTAAGTTGAAACGCGCGGCGCAGCGAAAAACAATCAGTAAACAGTCGCGTGCGTTTTTTTTTTTGGTCTTGTTTAATATTTAACCGTGTCCTTCTTTCCGTTATCTGGAGCAAATTAGTTCTTCCTAATCGCATTGTACGGCACATTGGTTATTCGAAGTTTACGTAACTTGGAAAATTGAAAAACAAGTCGAGTGTAAAGGTAAAAAAGAAAGAACATTGCAGAACTTTGACGACCCAGAAAAACTTTATAAATAATCATTTCTCTCAATCGCAAATGCGTGCCGCTCGTTTATCCAAACATTAACGTAAATGAAGGCTCAACAGCGAGGAAAAAGAGCGAGCAAATATATATCTATAAAAAAAAAAAAAAATAAAATGGCACACGACGCTATTCTAACCATGAAAAAAAAAAGCTCGTCTCGCTAGCAGTCGTAATAACCGGCAGAACGACATAATTCCCCTTTTCACGCTGCGGCGGCAAACAAACGCGACAATTACTCGAATTCTAAAGAAACCTCTCTTTCTCTGTCTCGCGAAAAGAGAGCAAAAAAAGCGTCCATTGGCAAGAGCCAAGAGGGGAGAGAAAAAACAACAGTGCGACACAGATTGATTTTCGCAGCGCAAGCGGCTGCGCTCGCCAAGGAGAGCTCTGCCTTATCTTATCGGCCCTTTATAAATCTTTAGCCCCGCTCGTGCGCAATTATTGTTCGCCGAAAGACGAGAACTCGGCCGCTTTTTGCTTTCGCGACTTGCGTTTCTCTCTCTCTCTCGCTCTCTCTGCTGTCGTCGCGTATGCGTGATCGAAATTGCAGGATGCCGTGCATAATGCACGAAATAACGGGGACTGTCGAGCCTCATGGAGCGCGACGACGCGTTCTTGTTTCCTTTTTTTCCTGTTCGTTATACATTTAAAAACGTCGAGCCGGCGGGAGAAGCGAGCGGCGTTGACGTTGACGGGTGGAAAGCGCCATCGGCGATTCGGAAATCCTGCCGTCAAGGCGAGATAGGATATATGACAGTTCCACGGGACACGCGAAAACGATTGGGAATGCAGGCTGCTCCCCCGGCGCGAGGGGCTGCCTGTGGCCGAGCGACGGTTTAATTCCGTTTTCTTTTCCGCTGAACGCGCGCTTATCATTGCGGG